ATCGTCTAGATCTAGCGTCTTGTTCGAGTAATGCATTCTCAAGTGGAGTGAAAGTAATTACGTAGTTGTGGAAAAAACAAATTCCTTAATTAGGCCATTGGCATCTTAAAGGCACTTAAGTCAAATTTGTTCATTATTTACTTAATATTAGTTTATTAGTTTGGCGATACTTGGGAAGGCTGGCATTAAAATATTATGGTGGCATTAAAATGTAGCAGGTCCGCCTTGTCTGTCGAGGCAAGAAATCAAATAAATCAATACTAATCGCTCTCAACGCTTTTAACTAGTAGTAACTGAATGCACTCGTGTACTTTATTTAATACAACTTTTAAAGTCTACTTGTGCATGTCAAGGCATGTACATACATGTCATTGCATGTATAAGTGCATACTTAACCACACACTCTAAATACTCATTACTTTTCTCCTCATTTGCCCAGGTGTAATTTTCGAATTCCTCTCCGTACCCATAATTAAGGCCTTCTCCTCTGCTACAGCTATCCTAGTCATAGAATCTCAGATAAAAGTAATGTTGGGCGTGAAATATCTCGTATCGGGTTTTATTGGATCCATTACTGCGCTGGTACCACGGCTACCTGAAACTAATTTTGGCGATCTTGGCATGGGTTTATTTGCTGTTATATTCCTCATTGGACTTGCGGTAAGTGAAACTTAAAATAAAGCAAAAACTAAAACATAATTCCTATTATATTCGAATACCCTTTCTTTCACAGCAATTGGAAAAAGTAGCTGATCATCCAAAGTTAAATCCAATATTGAGTACCATCTTCCGCTACTTATCCTTCTCGCGCAATACACTCATCGTTATGGTCACGGGGCTTATTTCATACATCTGGCTGAGCCAAGAACATGAGGTACCGTTTACACTGAGCAAAAATGCGCTAGCCGGTTTGCCTAATTTTACAATCCCCGATTTTTCGGTGGTTACACCCGAGAAAACCTACACATTTTTGGATATGTTAGCTGAATTGAATGTTGGTATTGTTGTAATACCCATCGTTGGAATACTCACCAATATCTCGATTGGTAAACTGAGTAAGTACCGGAAGGAAATAAATAAATTACATTTGGGTGTATGGTTGGGCTTACGAATTGAATAGCTAACTTATCTGAGGGTTAGGGCAGTAATTTTTAGTAATTAACGACCACTACTGATTGCGACACCAAGTCATTGTGGTAAGAATTCTTTCATGTGGGTGTTGAGAAGCAAGTATTGATATACTTAGTTCAAGGCGATGAAACTTAGACAATCTCCCCTATCCCTGTACGAGACTCTTAACATTGGACCAAATATGTTACGCTAGTCGTAGATGTTTTTTTTTACTTTACATACGGGAACAGTGGCTTTTGCTCCTGATGCCATACCCCACATAACATCCGATTTCTGAAGAATGTTAAGAAAAAATTCCCTGTATATAACTGCGATTGGGCATGAAATCCGGTCCTCAATTGAGGTCAAATTGAAACTCTCCGTGGCTAACTCATCAGCAGCTTAATTTTCGGGAGTGCTAAGATAACCACGGTCCGAAACTAAATCTATTTCGTACTGAATACTAACTCGATTGGAAACAGTTATGCACTCGTTAGTCAACTTCGACTTTGTTGTAAAATATACCAGAGCCATAGCAGTCAATGGCAAAAATACTGGCAAAGTCAGGTATATGGATTGATCTTCCCACCACCTGTGATTCATAGAAAATGCCTGCGTTAAGTTCGCGTTCCTTTTTGGAGCCAGCCTGCTCTCGATGGGAGAAGAACCCTGAAGACTACATCCACTCCATCTTATAATCAGTGCATTGTCTGTATATTATTCCACAGTCGACAGCAATTCTATGAAATTGAAGTGGGTCCCCGTGCCAAGGCAATGCAATTGATCATTAGCAATAAGTTTCCGGTTCAATGCCTCAAGAATAAGCAAATAAAGGAAAACCTTCAAACCCCGATGAAAAAAGCATAACGATAAGCAAATATCCGCGGCCTTTCTGCCAACACGTAGAACGTACCGAACCAGTATTCAATATAAACTAAACTACTATAAGCGTTTGTATTTTACATTCCTTCTAAAATGTGCCTTCCTCTTTTTCGGTCATTCACAGCTCCTAAGGGCATGGTTGATGCTAACAAGGAATTGATCACCGTCGGTCTGTGCAATCTTGCCGGTTCCTGCGTACAATCTATGCCCGTATCAGGCGCCTTCTCGCGTTATGCCATCAGCAACGCTTGTGGACTCAGAACTCCAATGGCCAATTTGTACCTGGGTGAGTTTGGCTATCACAATTCAGTAATTCTTCGTACTAATATATTCCGATATCGCGCAGGTGTAATTGTGCTACTGGCTTTGGGCTTTCTCAGTCCCTACTTCAACTACATACCCGAATCAACGCTTGCCGCCATTTTGATGTGCTCCATCGTAACTTTGCTGGATCTGCAGCTACCACGGCGTTTGTGGCGCGATGCTAAGCGAGATTTCTGCGTGTGGGTGCTGTGCTTTACGGTCTGCATCCTATGCGGCGTGGAAGTGGGCCTGCTAGTCAGTATTATAGTGACAGTCTTACACTTACTATTCCTATGGGCGCATCCTGTGATCTCAGTGCATGTAGAAGAGGTAAGAGGAGATAGGAAGACTTTTTTTTCAATTTCTAACTGATACACTCTTTACAGGTAAATGAGCTANGCATGCGAACGCGTCAACTTCAGTCTGCCTGTGGTTATGGATTGTCACAAGATCGCCGGCATCGATTTTACTGCGGCGCAAGGGATCTCAAAACTTCCAGACGATTTGACTCCATCGGAGGTGGGTAGTGGACCGCTCCTCATCATATACCGGCTAGAAGCGGAAAAACAGAAACTAATACAAGCCACTGACAAGCTGATCTTCTGTAATGACGATGTGAAGCTGGAAGAATGCATAACGCAAGAATCATTGCGGAATGGGAATTTCGTGATGAAAGAACCTATGAAATCTACAAATAGTCTGCTAGGCGAGACCCATTTAGATTTGCATTATTAGAGTATAGTGTAGGTAGGGAAAAGAAGAAGAAGAAGAAGAAGCGGATGGGGAAGGGGAAGAGAAGCAACATTGCAAGTGAGTCTTTGTGATATG